AAAAAAAAAAAAAAAAAAAAAAAAAAAAAAAAAAAAAAAAAAAAAAAAAAAAAAAAAAAAAAGTAACCTACAAGAAAATTAGGGACATAAATCACGTTAGTTAAGTTAACCGTATCGTATTGTGTGGAATGCTCATTTACTATAAACAAGAAAACATTTTTGTGGGATGTAGCTAGTTTCTGTTGTTTTAATATCTGCTATGGTTCATGAATTCTTGAAATTGATGGAAGTTTCAAATGCCATTCTGTTTGAGTGTTGAATCCCACATAGTATGATTCTCATGGCGGCGTTCACTTCATTTGTGGATTAGTTGATGTTTCGATTGTCGAAAATGGAGACTTGTGCACAGTCATGCTATTTTATCTATAGGTCTTACATTTGAAGGTAGATATTGTGAGATCCACATCGGTTGAGGAGGAGAACGAAACATTCTTTATAATAGTGTGAAAACTTCTTCCTAGGAGACGCATTTTAAAAACTTTGAGAGGAAGCCCGAAAGAGAAAGTCCAAAATGGACAATATCTGCTAGCGGTGGACTTGGGTTGTTAGCAATATATCATGTTTTTCTGCCGTTGTCATTGTAAATATTTTGCACTCATTGTCTTTACTCTAGAATTTTTCACAATTGCTATAGAAGTTTACTAGTTTACAAAGATTATGCCTTATGATACATCTCAAAAGCATACTTTTCTTTACATATTGGATAGTTTGAGAGCTAGAAAAGTACGGGGAAAGTTCACTAATTTTGTGTTTGAATTATAATGCAGCATGACGGAACAACCCTTCAGGCCTCGTGAGAAACTTATTGAAAGGCAAAAATATTTCCAGAGCATCCACAAGCACACGTATCTTAAAGGGCCAATGGATAAAATCACCTCCGTTGCCATTCCAATTGCTCTTGCAGCTTCATCACTGTATCTCATCGTAAGTTTACCTTATTCTTGTCTATCTTAAAGAATGTTGATTAATCATCTAACATATCGATCTCGCTCGTGTCTTTCGCACAGGGACGAGGAATTTATAACATGTCGCATGGCATTGGAAAGAAAGAATGAGGTCAAAGTCTTTGCATCTTGATTTCAAACAGTTTTATACTCTGGGACTCGTGAATTTTGTTATTGAACTAGTTTTCGTTCAATAAATGTCTAGTTCCTGATTCGTTTACCAGTAGAAAACTGGATAGATGCCCAGTTTTCCTACTTTGTTGCTTGATATTGAACTGTTTGTCCCAATTCTTCTTTAATGAGAATGTGACTCAGGATATGTATTGAGATTCTGGAAATGAAATGATGTTCCAGCTTACAATTTCCTAACCCAAATTGAACAAATCTATGAAGATCAACTTGGAAAGCTCCATTAGAATGATTCTAAGCAGGTCTTATTGGTTAATCTTTTTTTTTTTGCCAGGTTTGGTTCGTTTTTGGCTGACTTGCCTTCTCGATTACTAAAATGATATGATAATAGCTATTGAAAAATTATGAAATTATTAGTAGCTGATCATGAACACATAAAGTTTTAGTATCCGGTTTGTTTTTTTTTTTTTATTGGATTATTGAGAACAGGTGCTTTTTAATTGATTTTATTAACATAAATGGTTTTATTTTTTAAAACTATGGAATGGTATAAAGTTTTTATACAACTTTTTGTCATTAGATATTTTTGTTTTTCAATTTAGATTAACGAAGGTTAAAAATTACTATTAAAAAATGAAATATGAGTTGTATGTAGCCTAGTTAGTACTAATCGAATTATATAAAAGACCTGTGTACACGGGTTATTTATATCTTTTAAAATTAATCATTCAATTTAAACATGGATGGATAATATATATATATATATATATATATATATTATAACTAAAATTATAGATTTAATCTTCCATTTCACATTTATTGACTTAAAATTTCATATTTTAAAATATTAAATTAATTATTTCCCATAAATTAGCATGTAATAAAAATATTGTTTTTCTTATAAGGCGTGAACCTCAAACTTAAAAATTGGACCTCGTTATGTCTCTCTGGTGTATCAGGTTGGGCCCATATCTAGGTCCAGTAAGAGAATCTTAGGCCCACAGAAAGAAACAAAAAGCTGGCCAATACTGCTTTCCCCTCGCACTGCAGACCCCCGCCAAGTCGTAGTCTATCATTCGCCTCCAACAGCGGCTGTTTTCGGAACAACGATTTCTCGTCTTCCCTGAATCCTCATCCAAATTCAAGTGAGTTTCAATCCATTCACCTATTTCTTTAGGATTTAGATACCAGGGATCCTTCTTTGATAAACTGATCTAGGATGGGAGTTGTAATGCTTTAATCATTTATTTTTTTCTGCTTATTCTGCTTCGCGAATGTTGTTGTGCTCGATGTAATCCTAATTCAAATGATTTTCCCCCTTAACTTTTTTTTTTTTTTTCATCTGCCTTGGGATTTTTAAGTTTTTACCTTCGTGTGCGATGTTCGGGGATTTAGATTTATGTGACACTATCGATTGAAATGCGCTATAACTTCCATAATTTACCGTTGAATCATCGATCTCGAAACGGAGAAAAGTTGATGGAATCGATTTTTTTGGTTTTTTCGTGTAGTTCTCATTTTTGTTGCCTATTTTGTGGAAATTAGTACATTTTTCGTTCATCAGTCGGTGGAGATGAGAGATTGCCTTTTCCTTTCAACTAGGGTTAGTCTAACAGAAACTGCTGGGAATTAGTTTTGAATTTCCTGGCTCATTATCGTATATGGGATTTATTAAATTAGTGAAGCAGATGACAATATGTGTAAGAATGGAGATTGATATCATTCTCGCTAGTTATGTATTGATAAGCGACACATATAAAATGTTTCAGTCGGGCTTAGTGTTGATAAAGATACATGAGAAAGTTTAGATATGATTTGAGATCATGTCATAGTTTTTGAATTTTGATATTTTCTGTAATTCATGAATACTTGGAATCAAGCTTTAAAATACAACCAGAAAACTGTAGTAAAAGGGTTGGTTGAACTCATTAAGTAACCCACTACCAACGCCCAAAGCCACCACCGTTTGGACTTTGTAGTGGAATTGGAGCTTGAGTTGAGGCTTACGCCTTTCAAGCCAAGGCCTCAAAGTGCAAGTACAAAGGCTTTTACACTCTACGTTCAGAGGCGTTAGCCTCTTTTTGATGTGTCGTGCTGGAGGTAAGCTCTATTTGGGCCAGAGCATTGATTCCCCATAACGAATAGACTAGCTCGAGATCTCAATTGCCTATCATGTGCTCGAAAAGGTCCCACAGTTCCTACTTAGATTGATTATATTCTTTGTATTGAACATAAAATGAACTTCCATATATGAATATATCATAGGGCGAAGCTGATGTACACCTTAAACGATTTATACCTTGCTTGGAATTGCGAGATGTTCCAAGCGACATTCTGTTATACTTTTAAGTCCCATATTGAGTGATTTTCTCTGTTGTTTGCATCATTTGTTGACTAATTGCTGTTTGAACCTTTGAAAATGAAGAATTGAGCAGTGGGTTCTGATCTATTTGATCCATGGAGTAGTGGGTTCTGATCTAAGCAGTACTTATGGGAACTCCATTGTTTCGCAGGATGTCTGAAGAACCATTTAGGCCACGTGAGAAACTTATTGAAAAGCAAAAATATTTCCAGAGCATCCACAAACACACGTATCTTAAGGGGCCAATGGATAAGGTGACCTCTGTTGCCATTCCACTTGCTTTGGCAGCTTCATCGTTGTATCTTATAGTAAGTTTATTTGTCTCTACACTGCTTGAGGAGATTATTTTTGTTTTCCATTGTGAATAAATTAGTACTGTTTCATGCAGGGACGGGGAATTTATAACATGTCACACGGGATTGGAAAGAAGGAATGATTTCAAAGATCCATCTTAATCTTTATCTAATAATTGCTTAGTTGCAGACTTGGTTACCAATTGGTTTGAATATCAATCTCAGATTCCTTGTTGTGCGTGTGGGATGGTTTGTCTCAGATTATCGTTTTTCCCCCTTTTTAGAAATTGTTTGGTTGAGTTTGCTTTCCAGTTTCCAGTGATCTGATTATTAAGGAGTGAGCAGCATATCCATAATAACTGTTTCTTTGTTCTTTATATAGTAGTTCAAATGTTCGTTAAAGTGATAGGTTCTAGGAAATTTGAATCTATACAAGATTATCCATTGAACGCAGATTTTATAGAGCGGATGAGATATTGAATGAGATATTATGGGTTGGAAAATAAAACACGAACATGTTTAAGAGTATTTTTGAACTGAATTGATATGGGAAACTTAGAAGAAATATCTCGCTAATTCCTGTTTCTTGATGAGAAGTCTACACCACAAATATGGATCTAAATACTGAATTTCAAACAAATTAAGATTAAATTAGAAATTAAATTTGATGCAGCATAGTATTGTATTTATGTATATATTAAGCAATATCTTGTAATTAAATGAGATTGCTTATTTGTTGTTTTAATAAATATTTTGAAGCTCTGTTATGAATAAATAAATAATTTCTAAAGATTGTCTGCAAGTAAAATTAGTTCATTCTGAAACCATAAAATCTTGAATTAGATTTTGATGTTCATTGGTATGGGGAATATACTGAGAGGCACAGGTCAAGACAGATGGGAACATTTAATTTAAGTCATCATTTTCTCCACAGATTCTAGAGATAAGCAGAAAAATACATTTTCCACAGAAAAATAAAGGGAATGGACAAGAGGATGCTCCCATGGAAAGAGCTACAAAATTGGAAAAATGAAAGGAGATTTGTTTGGCATGTGAATATGTGAATGTGAATCAAAAGTCATGTGCAAAAGCAGAGCCACCAACACACTGGCCCCAAATAACTTTTACCCTATTACCTTTGCATTGGATCCACCACAATCTATGAGGTTTTTATCATTAAAATACCACCAACTCTAGCCAATACAATGTTTTTTTTTTTTTTTTTTAGATACCCATGAGTGCATAGTAGCTTGCACGTGCCTTAGATAGGCTAACCTGCGATATCTCAACTCTTTAAGATATATGCCTTCACTCAAAAGGTTAAAGATTCAAATTCCAATATCTACCTCTACATGTCAAACTTAATAAAAGTAATTAAGGAGATAGGAAAGACTCGATCATAAGAAATCTTATAGCCTAATAGTGTACTATGTAGAGATGTGTCTTTTGCGTCTTGATTGACTCAAAAGATAGGCATACGATATTTTTGTACTAATGGTTTTGATAAAGAATGATTATGCTAGAAAGAAAGATAGGTCGAGTGTACACGGTATCCAAAATGCAACTAAAAGACCATACCAATAACTTGAGTATAGACGAGTAGGGGTGTAGTTCAGTAAATTTTATTTTCTGAACAATGAATTAATTTGAGTTTTAAATTATAGTCATGTGATCCTGGAACAGTTTGATCATATCAAACAATGAGTGGATGAGTCGGTTTGGACAGGGTATAAGCAGAGGCATGTTACGGCTGATCTTGTTGTCTTAGTGTCACTCTACTGCTACAAGGTAGCCATGTGATTTTCCTAGAAGAGTGGTTTCATTTCCACCATGAACAATCATATCGAACAGATAGGCAGGCAGATTATACATGGAACCCAAAATCAATTTGGACGAAGAAAGAAAAAGGATATACTCGTGAAAAATAGATCCAAACAGGTGGAGGTGGAAGTTGTGGGTCTAAGTCCTATATGATGGTGTGCCTTTTTCAGATATTGAGCAAGAGATGCTGTCGAGGAAGATAGGGGACAACAATGCTTTCAAGTATTTGAGTCAGCATTGAAAAGAAATGACACGTGAGCTCTGTCGGTGCACGTAAATAGTGACATCCAATCTAACGAAATGTCTTGATGTGTTTTCTTTTATGTATATATAAAGAGAGAAGGGCCTCTGAGTTCAAGGGTGGAGCAGCCATGGAAGGAGAGTTCAAGCACTTGGTGCTCGTGAAGTTTAAGGAAGGAGCGGCGGTGGGAGAGATTCTCAAAGGCATGGAGAACCTCGTCACCGAAATCGAAGCTGTCAAATCCTTTGAATGGTAATCCTCGCCCCTCTTGTTAAAATATTAAAAAGGCATTGGTTCTTCAGTTTTGTTGGATGTCTTTTAGCAGGGTGTGAACCCGAGAGAGGAGCTGAGTCTAAAGAGGGGCCAGTGGCGCCTCTAAGTTCGTCTTAGATATTAGGGAGTAAAACATTGTCCTTCCCCATAAAACTTTCTACCTCCACCCTCGTTGGAACCAAGATTTAAGTATTACTTCTTTTCTTTACTGGTTTCGTAGCTGGATTAAGATATTTTTATGGTAGGGATGGACATTCTTAGGACATGATGTTGAATGTTTAATTAGTTAAAGTTTTATGCAATTTTGTGATAATTATTTAAATTTAGTTTAAAGGGTATGTTAAAAATCAATAAAAGGGTAAACATGATTTCATCATATAATTTATCATGAAACGAAGAGAAAGATGAATGTTTCAAGGTGAAAACAGGGGGCAGGAGATGGAAGGACCAGAGATGCTTACACAGGGATTCACACATGCCTTCTTGATGACATTCGAGAACAAGGAAGCTCACTCTGCGTTTACTGCGCATCCCAAGCATGTTGAGTTCTCTGCAACTTTCTCGGCAGCCATTGAAAAGATTGTGCTTCTTGATTTTCCAGCTATTCGTGCCAAGCCACCTCCATCCGCTTGAATATCAACCAATACCTCTTTGTGCTGGACATGTAAAACCCGTTAATGATTATATTTATAACGGTACTACTCTTGGTTTTCCGAAGAAGTGAACCCTTTTCTTTTCGTAATTAAAATTTACTGCATTAGGGTTAGATGATGTGTACCGTTGGATCCATGTTTTGTGATTGGAATTCGTGGAACCGCTGCACAACACGAGCAGAACTGTCAGTCTCTTCCCGCTGATGAACTTGAAAGCCATCTTTTTCCTGTTAAAATAAATCGCTGCAATTTTCGCACGTAAAATTGTCGAAACTTGTTTAAATCCACACGTTCTAATTGTATAAGTATCACAGTATTCACTGATCAGCTTTTGTATAGGACTTACCAATTTATCGCCTTGTTAGGAGATCAGTGGACCCAAGAAGCTATCTCCATTAGATGCAAATGGCAAGAACCCTGTGGTTCAAGAAGATGGCCCAACTAGACAAAATAACTGTTAGAAGATCCATGGCGCAAGTAATTAACCCAGCTCAATCATTTTCTATAATTACTGACGTTTAAATAACCAATTCAAAACCCACAACATAAATACAATGCAAATAAAAATATCAAAATATACAATTCAACTAATAAAACAACGAACTTGATTACAGATGGTTCACTCTCTCTCCTCTTCAACGCCTCCTTGTGATAGCCTCAAGATTCTCATTCAAACCTAGGTTTTCTTGCACGTGGCAATTTCAACAATCAACATTCGGGCGAATTTAAGTATTGAGCTCCTCGCCAATAGATGTTGAGTTCCTTCAAGTGTTTTCTGTCCATTCACCTACACCAATTTTTTACTTCAAATGCAAATTTTATTCACTGTTAAAAGAAAAAAGAATGAGATTATATATACTTACTTCTATTAATGAAAAAGATAATGAATTTTTAAAATTAAACTTCGCCAATAATAGGAAGAGAACAGAAATAAAATAAGATCGTTATAAAACAATCTCTAGTTTATAGAAAGGGTGGTAGGATATTGATGCATTCAAAAGGTAACAAGGAATGACAGCTATGTGTCCCACCTCTGTTCTCTTTTCTTTGAATCAGAGAGTATTTTATTTTTAACATACCATACTAGTGAACTTTAGATTTTCAAGAGTAGAACTACGTTTACCATTAAAACTCTTCATCATCCACGGTTGGTCTAGTAATAGGAATTGACCATCTCCCCAGATGAGCAGTGTAATTTATGCATCGGACAACCCCTCGACTGTTAGACCCATCAGGGAAGTCAATCACACTAATGCTTCCAGCATCCAGATGGAATGATCCAATCCAATCTTTTGTCAGATTTAGGCACCGCCCCACCAATCCGAGAAGAATAGCAGGATGACCAACCACAACAATAACCTTCTCTGGCTCCTTTTCATCAGCCATCTCATTCAACAGAGACTTCCAGGCTTCACCACTCTGATTCCACACTTCCGTAATCATCACATCGTCCAATTTGTTTAACCAACCAGGTTCAAAGACAGTCATGTTACCTACATCCTATGGAACAAAAAGCAGAGTCTCAGAATGGAAATTCAAGTATTGGATCAAAAAGTATAGTTATTAGTTCCATATTCATCCAAACCTAAGGTAGAATTCCCCCACCGGGATAAACCCGAACGAGATAACTGAAAAATTAAAGGAAATTGGGCTTTTCAACAAAATTTTTAAATAAACAACTTCTTTTTATATATTTATATATTTGATGAGGAATGATTTGAACCTCTAACCTCTTGTCAAAAAAACATGTCAATTATCATTGAGCTATATTTACGTCGGTGTAAATAAACAACTTATTCATCTACTTATACTATGGTAAATATGCAACTTTTTCATCAACCTGATTGTGAAATGGATTACAACCATAAAGATATTACTTCTAGTCTAAAAATTTCATGGCCAGATATCTTGCCTGCTTGAAATGATCAAGAATATTGTCTACATCAAGTTTATTCGTCTGCTTCATCTCCACATAGCGAGGCACACAATCAGCACCCAAGCAATCTGCAGCTTCTTGTACCTAGAACAAATGAGCGGCGTCTTTAAAGAAATGATTTTTTGACCCTCAAGAGAATTTAGTTGAAATGCTTTTCTTTGTATCTTTTTGACACAGGTCTGCGTGAGCGATTGAAAGCGGTAGAATAAAATCAATTGATGGTGATTAGTCAACCTTTGCCTTATTCCATGATGCTCATGTATGCAAGAGTCCCACTGTTTTTAAATTGTCAGGTGATAAGACACGTTAACCAAGATTTCAAAATTAAACTAAAGAATTCTTGAAGGTTGAAAAGGCCAAGAAGAAGACGAGTATATGAAGACAATCGAAGAAGAAGAAGAAGAGTATATGAAGACAATCGTGCCACAGTAA